TGTGGGGCCGGGGTCTAAGCCAAACTATATCCGGTCACAGAGATCTGCTATTTTAAAGTAAAGTCAACACATATAGACCCTAAATATAGTCTATATTAAGAACGAGAAAAGTCTTAACATATATATCCTTTTTTGTAAACATATGACAAATGTGTGAGGGTGATGACGTCAGAGCATCGTCTTATGTGCCAGGGCTTAGCCCCGGACAGCCCCAGCCCAATTTAACCCCTGGGTATTTGTGAGGGAGCTCCTATATGGCATTACCCCGCTGAAGCTCACCAAAGTTTAACATATTTCATAGTTCAAAGTTTTGTCAATTGTTTTGTTTATTGGTCAAATACTGGTTTCTAATGGTTTCTGAGGAGTTTTACTGGAATGAAAGAACACAGAGTACAGAAGCAACAAAGCAGCATACTGCATTAAACCTGACCTTCACAGAGAGGTTGAAGTTCATGTGGAAAGGAGGCTTCAGTAGTCTGTCTGCACTCTGTTTAGTTTTGCTATCTTACAATCAATATAGTCAATGTGAGGTAAAGTGTGTAACCGGTTAGAACTCAAAGTTGCAATGAGGTCTTAAAATGTATGGAAAGGGTCTTAAAAAAGGTCTTAAAAGGTATTAAATTTGACCTCAGGATTTCTGCATATACCCTGGGATAAAAGCGTTGAACAAGTGACATGTAATGTAATCATTGTGTTGTCTTACCTTTTTTCAATATTCAGAAAAGGGTGTTGTATTTACTTGTTCTATACTAACAGTAACCCAAAAACGTACCTTTGATTATTTCATGCCATAATATAATTGATTTAAATCATAATTTGTGATTATAAAATGTAAACATTGACAGTGGTTTCCTTCTGTATAACCTTCACTTCACTGACCCATATGGATCCTGATTGATGCAGCTAATGGTGCTTTGATTGATTCGGATGTCTCTGTCCAATCATCTGGCACTTAATTATAATTCAATTACCATCCATTTACTGGCTTGTGCAGCTTTTATTCTGGTCCCAGGGGAGGGAAAAGGCCATGGGGCCAGACTCTATGCATTATTTATATATTTTGAAAGGAACCGTACAAAAAAACAAGGCTTCTACATAATGGCTTTTTATAATGGGAAATAAGGTTATTGTTTGATTCAGTAATGGACAACAAGGTGACAAACACTATCATCTTCTTGACTCTGACAAGTCTGCAGACCTGTCACATGCAGGTGCTTCTGCTGTGATACATGTTACCATCTCTGACCTAGTTTCTCTCTTTTCACTATGCTCCCCATTTCTTCCCCTTTCTCTCTTTTCCCCAGATCCTCTCCATGCCTACTTAGGGCTGTGTGGTTTGTCTCTGATTGGAGAGCCAAGTTTGAGGAAGGTCCACCCCGCTCTTAACATCACCCAGAGAGCCTTTGAGCACGTGCAGCAGCTGCAGCAGACATGGAGGGAGAGTGCTGGCAGCTGTGGCCGACAGCACTGACAGCAGGATGCTCCACAGCGCTGGCTCTGAACAGGTTCAGTAACCAGGAACATCTCACCAGAGTCAGTCCACGGCAACCGGACTTCTGCTGTGTGTCTTGAAGACGCTTGGATCTGTGAGGCCACCTCGTGTCAGGAATTAGAAAAGGTTTTTAAGACCCCAGACACACAGTAGCTACTTTGGGGAGCTCATTTTAAGTCCATCTAAAATAACTTTTCTGCTAAGGAATCTATGCCAGACTTTTTTGCTGCCTTTTTATTGTTAGAACGTAATAAATATCAACTTGCTTTTTGTTTTGTGGGGGTAAAATGATGTGCCAGAAAATCCATTTTGAGTCACTGGAGACTCAAAGAAATTCCAGATGCCTCCATTTTGCTAACTTTTTAGATGCTGTAGCTTTTGAAGCCTTCTGCTCTCCATCATAGTCAACAACGCAATCTGCTGTAAACGTTCTGCTCGAGGAGGAACTGACGCACTTCACATGGACATTAACTTGTGTCTTTAAAATGGTATCGGAGTAACTGGGGTCTTCAGTACCTTAAAGCTTCTGAGTTGGCTGTTGTCATTAATGTGAATTGCCTAAATAAGTACTTGCTTTTGTAGAAAAATCCCCCTGTTTTAAAGAAAATATCACAAGTATGTTTTTTGTCAGCCGGTATGGGCACAGTGGTCATTTTTCTTGGGTTGTGGTGGGTTAAAAATAGCACATTTCTTTTGAATGAACCTTACTACATCCTTAAACAAAGAAAATACAGCCAAAGGTGCCATACAGTTTGTTTTGCCTCTCTGCCCCTCGAACATCTCCATCCTCATGTTGCTTTTGGATCTCTCCAAAGCCTCCTGTCCCATAGGAGAGACCAGCCTGGCAGGTACACTCTCACCTCGGCTCGTTTCAACATCCCAGGTTTTTTTCTGTAATCACCAGAGATTTAAAGATAAAACAGCGACTGGGGGTACATTTATGGAAGAGGCATCTAAGACCCAGCAGCCACGCCCAGGGGCAAGTCTGTGATCGAAGAGAAAAATTAAATAAAAATAGTTTTAGCTCCAGGCCTTATCATTTCAGATCACATAAAATAGAATGTGTTGTTCGCTTATTTCCAGAGGATCACAGAAAATTAGGCCAGAACATAAAGAAATATAATCCCTTATTTCTGCAAGCTAGCCCCCTGACTCCTGAACCGATCAGAGTTACGTTCCTTCACCAGCTTTCATTCTTGCTGCAAGGCACCAGCCAGCATGAAATCAATAGAAAAAAGATGAGACAGTTGCATTATGACTTGGGGAAATATATTCTTTTGAACAGCGCTGGGAATGTTGTTTTCAGACAAGAAAGGATGCAGGGCAAAAGCAAAGAACCATGCACATGAGCACACAGAGAGTCAGGTCTTAAACAACTATTATCAAATGCATCACATCCCTTTGGGTCCTCAAACGCCACCTGCAGCTCAAACAAGTGACCTTCCAGCCTTCTTGCTGACTCTTCAATGAGAAATGTTAGTTTTAAATCCTAATAAGGTCTCAACATGGTGTCATAGAGGCACTGAGTTGAGCCGGTTCCTCTTGCCTTCGTATCACATTGATGCCCTGATTCCCAGTAAGGGACATTTCCCCAGTTTCATAGGTCCCTCCAGCCCCCTGCTGAAGCCCCACCCTCTGATTATACGTCTGCTGTCACAGCAAACACCTGCTCCCTGAGATGATGAGAAAGAAACAATAGCTCAGCAGGTCAGAAATACAGCGGCCTGTCTGCACCTGCAGGAGTGCTGTGTTTAGACACTGGATTTAAAAATATGATATTGCCTCTGGGGTTTTCCTCACCATCTAAAATGAAGCTGTTCTTGGACTGCTTTCCCACCCGAGCAGCCCGTCTTTTCCAGACTCAGAAAAATAGAGCAGGCAGACAGAGGAAAGAGAAATGGGAGGAGAGGTGAATAAATAAATAATTTGATCCATCTATTATTGAAAGTGAACTGTTGGTGGCTACAATCTGCTCCCCTTACCTCGGCCAAACCCCCAGTGTTATATACCCTCATTTTGGTGCAAAAACCAATGTTTGTTGGTTGTTTTTAGCCATTTGTATTGCTTGTAAATGTTTTGCCTAAAAAAAAAGGCTTTGCCACAGTGTGTCTCTCGCAAACTGATGTACTCCATTTTCATTTGTATCTATTTTATCTTTGAGAAAGTTCAGCTATGACTTGCATTGCTGCTGCTGAATTGAGCCTCAGACACACACACACATACAAGATCAATAAGATAAGCTTCATCCTATGATATTCTGGTATCAGTCTTTTTTCTGTAACTACATCGGAGTGTTCTTTGGTCAAAATGCACCGAAAGAGAACGACCATGTCTCCCATGCATCTTTTCAAGTGACTTTGACCATGTATACCACCTCCGCCGGCTGTCCTTTTGTGTACATGATGTAGGCCAAGGCAAAGACCCCCTCCCAAACTCTAAAATGTGCCTCTAGCGTTTTACTGCTCAATCAATGCTCCCTTCTTGCTTTTTTCTGATTTCACTCCATGTACAGCATGCTTTAGTTGAGCTTAGCTTTGCTGTTGTTATTGTTAAAGAAAATGCACTGATTATAGTGTTCTCTAAAGGGGACGGAAGAAATGAGGATCCTAAATCTTACATTCAGGAACTGGAACACTTACCCTGTAAAAAAAGAATTGTCCTCCCATCTTTGAAGTTGAATGATCTAATTAGACATCGGTTTCCTGGTCGATTTACCAGAACTTGACTTTGTCCCTTGATGTCTGATCGATAGTGTATTTCCAGAAAGAGGGAATAAACCATTGACACACAACCCATACTTGCTTACTCGATTTTAAAAGAGGATGAAAGATTGAATGGATTTGCCCCTCACGGCATCTCAGCAGTTATTGTACTGCGTCTCCTTTTTGCTACATCATGCTGCAGTGGATGCTCTGTGTCCCACAGCATGTAAAGAGGGCAGAGGCTTTGCGCTTCTCAGACGCTGCTGCCTTTAGGTCGTCTAGAGATGTGAAAGACTGCAGCCAAACGCCACACATGGTTAACCGTAAACCCTTGCGCTATATCATCTAATATACATAATGTAATAATAAATAATGTAAGAAATGCGATGGAATTTATTTTTTCTATGCTTTGTAGAGATATCGAGTGTAGATAAATATGTAAATGTATATAAATATGTGACTTCTATTGTGCAAGTGGTCAAGAGGAAAGAAATGTTTACAGCTACATCAGTGAGGCAGTAGAAGGAATTGGATATCCAAATGTTGATATGTGATGTATAAAGTACTTCAGCCTTGAATTTGAGGAAAGTCATGTTTACTCGAGCTTGGCAGTGAAAACTGTATTTATGGTGAATAAAAACACATACTAACTTTTACAATTGTTTGGGTTTCGCTGTAAAATCTTGTTGCATGTGTATGAGGGGTTTTATCTCCTCAAAAAACAAATGTGCTTCCAAAACTTCATGTAAATTCACCTAATAGCTATTGATCTCTTGTTCAGCGTTAACTTTATGACCTGAAGAGGGTGCTAAGATAGAATTATTACATTACATTGCATTTAGCTGACGCTTTTATCCAAAGGGACTTACAATAAGTACATTCGACCAGGAAGATACAACCTTGAAGAAAACAGAATCATATAAGTACATCAGGTTTCATTGAGCCAAACATTTCAAGTGCTACTCAACTAGCTTTAGATAAGCCAGTCCTTTAGTTAGTATATAAGTGCTTTGTTAGTAATTATATCGCTCGAAGTGGAGTCGAAAGAGAATTCACCTCTGGATATCACTTATTGGACTTCTTGTTATAAATGGAAATGATGGTGGGCATGGAGTTACCAAAACCATTAAGATGTATCACCTAGCGAAAATAAGAATTCACAACAAATGTACAACAATAGGCATTTTAGGAATTCTGCAAAGAAAAGAAAGGGAAAGTCAATATTGTCACGTTCCTTTTGGTGAGATGGTGCTGTATGGTAACCTACAACAGCTGAATGTAATGAATACCATTTTGTTTTCTTTCCCTGTAGAATCTGTGGCTGAATAACTCAAAACTGTTTCTCTATTTTTAACTTCAAAGAGGACAATCGGTCAGCATTTTACCTAATTTGCTTGATTTGCCTTTCATTTCTCATCCTACATGGATGAGCTACAGAGTTACACAGTCTGCTAGGTCAGTGACTAAGACATCATTAAAAGCCTTGGGGGGAGGGGAGTTTCGCTGGACACACCAGGACACACATGCAAACACATTATATAGAGTCCCACTTGGGAGCTGCATAGCACAGTTACAGACTTCACTGATGGGGTAATTTGATCCAGGCAAATGTGGCCCTATGGCACTAAAATATCACATCTGAATAGGAGGATAATGACAAATTAAACAGCACTTGATAATCCATTTTATGTTTTTTTTTATTTAGAAAGAAATAATTATAAAACACAGTTTAAAGGGGGATTCAAAGGTTTAAATTGTATTTTCTTCCACTGTGAATACAGCCCAACCCAGATCACAACTCTCTGGAGATGCTCCCTCGACAGCCAGCTGCAGCTGTACTTTGGGTGTGGTTATATGGTCCCATATTCAACAGACAACTAATACCTGTGTGGCACCAGACTTCCCTTTGAGACATGTAACCTTATATTGCCACCATGTAGGAGAGGCTGAGTGGAAGAAAGGTACAATCTGCTTTGGTAAACTTTTATGACAGAAACTGACCCTGACATTGTCTATGGAGCTGTTGCTACCACAGAAGTACACAGATACACTGTGTTTACAGCTTTCCATATTGTGATGTGAATGACTCATTCTGAATGATCCACAGGCCCTAGGCTGGATGTGTATGCTTATGCAACAGTTGTTTTCTCTGTAGTTATTTAACATGAATCAATTCTGCTTGGTAAAACACATGAATCAATGCACTTTATTGATTATTCACTCTAGAGGGCACTGTCAGTTATAGGGCTTTTTATGGACTAGTCAAGTCTCATGACACAAATATTTCTTGTGAGCACTGCACTCATCTTTTCCCCAAGAGTCTATTGAGATGGCAATAAACACATGGATATAGCCACTGGAGATGCACTTCACAGGGAGCTATATGGTACGACTTTAAGATTTATTAGATGTTACTAATGTCCTTACAAATGGTTATGAAGGGTTATAGATCCGTTATTAAACGTTAATATGGACAGTCATATTGTTTATCAAAGGTACATTAATGGTTAATTTATCTATGGTCAGCAAAGAAAATTGCACTTAATATTCCTGACAGTTATTTTGATATTGACATTTGTTAACATGTATTACCACGTTTAAAGAGATATACAACATCAGAAATTGGTAGAGAACTGTTACTTTCCATCTTTATTCCCAATTTAGATTTGACATCCAACCAGTAAAATGGAAGAAGCTTATTTTCTTATTTTAAATGAAATCATGTTGCTCCAGTCAGTGCAATAAACAGTGATAATCTCAGTGCTTTTGGGAACATTAGTTGGTTATAAAATGAGTTTTGTTATGCATCGTTTCCCCAGTCAGGACAGTCTGCCCGGTTGTCCCCCTCCACGTGCTCAATGGGGTGGAATCTATCTGCATGAAGCCATCTGGTGAAGCGGAACAAGTGGCATTTCCAGAAAAATTAAAAACACACAAACTTAATCCGGCATCACACACGCATTCCGGATCGTTAAAAAAAACAGTTCTGTATTTGAAACTGCAATCCCAGATTCATGACAGGAAACAAACGGCACAATGAGACATGACAGTATGCTGTCACATATTTGGGTCGCAACGGGCAGAAATCAGCCCACACAAAACAATACATATGCACACTTGAGTGCTTTGCCAACCATGCGTAAATGTCCAATTTGACTGAATACAGCACCAGAAGATTTACGACCCCCCACCCTGCCCCTTTAATCCTCAATGTGAGATTATAATGTATATTTCTAGTGATGATGTCTAAAATGAGCTGCCACGCAGAGCTCGGGGATACAAAGAGCTGTCAGTGGAGACATCGCCGTTGAGGGAGAGAAGGAGGGTAATGGTACAGTAGAGGAGATTAGGGCGGGGTTTCCTTCCAAGATGAGGCAAACTAAAATAAAAATGTGCCTCTTGCAGCCGGCGCATGTATTTTAGACTCTACGGACAGACACAGTCTCCTGCGGAGGGAGGGAGAGGAGGATGGTGATGATGATGAGGATAAGGTCTCAGCAGCAGCTCTGCTCTCTTCATGTTATCTCACCTCCCCTCTGAAGCTGTGGAGCTTTTGATCCTGTTTGCTTAAGCCGCAGCTGCTGTTTGTCTCTGTGTGTTTTTCTACATTTACTACAATCTTATACCTGGTTGCTGCAACATCTCCCACCATCAGACCGCAGCCATGTCGGACTCAGAGGACATGGCGGAGTTCGCCAGCATCGTGGAGCGGATCGAGCGGGGCGAGGTGAGTGAGATCCGGATGATTTACGGTCCTTCTGACAGCAGCGGTCTGTCTGTCATCCTGCTGCCGACAGCAAACAGCACAGAGCCGGCCTGCAGGGCTGTCAGGGGAGGGGATGGATGCTGTCAGACACAGACCGCAGCCTGTTACAACTCTTTCCATTCATCTATGTCACATTGCATTGTGTCATGCTAGCCTATTGTATTCTAATATTATAGCATGATGTGGGGTTATCTCCTGTTATGTTGATTTAATAGCCATTAGGCCTACAGTGAAACCCACCCCTATTCTATTCATACTCACGATTTCAGGTGTGTCTGCTATACTGACCAAGGCATTCATTACAGGCATTCAGTTTAATTGCGTCATACTAATCATTGACATCAATATTAAGTCTATTATTATCAAATAGTGTATGTGCCTCTATAATTCTATAGACTATATTTCAACATTGTAATAGTAGCATAGAAATAATCCCTAATCCGGCCTATTAATTGAATAGTCTATAAAGATAATGATTGTTATCTATCTATCTATCTATCTATCTATCCATCTATCTATCTATCTATCTATCTATCTATCTATCTATCTATCTATTTATCTCTCTACGTCTATCTGTCTATACGTCTGTTTGTCTGTCTATATTTGACACTTTATTCATTGTACAGATTAGTAATACACCCTCTTCTTTTTTATTCCACTCTTTTCTGTTCTATCATATTCCAGTAAAATCTGTGAGCTAATGCCACCATTATGCAGTTCTTAAATCTTGGTATAATCTTAATCTTTAGCCTGCCCTGTAATTGTATTTTATATTAGTGACAAATCCCCATAACTCTGTTCTGATATTGTAAGAAGATCTGACCCTTTTTCTTTACAAAGAAGTTAACAACTTACCCTACAAAGACCTATATGCTCTATTATATGTCAAGGTCTAGTGGCTTTAAGGCATCGGCGCTTCTATTATTAGAGCAAAAAACGTGAGCATAAATGAGTGAGTTTAATTAGAGGTCCAAGTCAGTGAGTATGTTGGTAGTTAGATAGTGCTGCAGGCCGATCACAGACTCCTGTCAATATGTGGGACACTTGGCAGCAGCTGTGTGGTGAGATGGGGCACTGGGTTACTGAGGTGTGTGTGTGTGTGTGTGTGTGTGTGTGTGTGTGTGTGTGTGTGTGTGTGTGTGTGTGTGTGTGTGTG